ATGAGTTCAATCCCCACCTGCCCCGGAGGTGACCACATGGCGTGGCAGACCTCTCCTGACCCGCCCGCTGCTCCCCTCAGCAGTGTACTTCACCAGTTGGCCTGTTCTGCTCCCCACTCTGTCTCTGGTGAAGCCTCTTGCCGCCCCTGAGCCTCTGGCCTGTACCCCAGTTCTGTATGCACAAATAAAAATTTAAAAAAAAAAAAAAGAATAACAGAACCACTGCTCTTAGAGAAACCCTAGTTTTGAAACATTAGTTAGGACAATAGTTCTTAGTTGGGGGTAGGGGGTGGTTTGCCTCAGGGCAAGGAGGCATTTTGGCGATGTCTAGAGATATTTTTGGCTGTGTTGCACCATAGAAAGTACTACTAGCAGCTAGTGGTAGAGGCCAAGAATGCTGTTTAAGCATTTACAATGCTTCCACAACCAAAATTATCTGGCCCAAAATGTCACTAGTGCTTAGAGTGATTTGGTGTTATCAGACTTAAAAAGTTCAAAGAGGCCCTCCCTGGTGGCGCAGCGGGTTAAAGCACAGCACTGAGAATCTAAAGCCACTTCCGCATGAGTTCGATCCCCGCCTGCCCCGGAGGAGACCACATGGCGAGGCAGGCCTCTCCTGACTTGCCCACTGCTCCCCTCAGCAGTGTACTTCCTCTGCTCCCCTCAGCAGTGTACTTCGTCGATCTGCCTGTTCTGTTCCCCGCTCTGTCTCTGGTGAAGCCTCTCGCTGTCCCTGCACCTCTGGCCTGTACCCCTCAGTTCTGTATGCATAAATAAATAAATCTTTAAAAAAAAAAAAAGTTCAAAGAAAGCCCCATTTGTAATTTGAAGAAACTCTTATAACTGCGTGCTTATTTTGGAAGCAAGACCATTTTCAAAGAGGCCTGCTTAGTGGTGGAATGGAAGCTTCTATCACTTATACTCAGGTTAGTTGTCTTAATAACTTGAAATTTTCACTTAGATTTTTGTTCTTTTAATAGGTTTATTCAGATATAGTTCTCATTCATTTAAAGGGCATACAATTCAATGGCTTTTAGTCCATAACCACAATCAAATTTAGAACATTTCATTAAATCCCTTGGCTACCACACCCCTCTCCCCGTTTCACTCCAATTCCCAGCCCTAGGCAACCACTAATCTACTTTCTCTAGTTGTCTATTTTGGGCATTCCATATAAATGTAAGCCCATACAACATGTGTTTTACTGTTGTTTGGTTTTGTTTTTGCTTTTATTTTTCTGTGACTGGCTTTTTGAACACAAAACAATGCTTTCCAGCTTTACCCATCTTGTAGCATTTGTCAGTATTTCATTCCCTTTTATAGTCAAATGAATGATACAGGTTTCCCCTACTGTGCAAAACAGAACCATCTTATTTGAGATGATTTGATAGGTTACTTCTTGGGCCTGGGAACAGTGTTACTATTTATTTCTATAGAAAATGTTTGAGCATTCCCAGACCCAAAAAATAACCATTGTGGCTTTGATTTTGCATTTCCTAAACAGCTAATGATGTTCACAATCTTTTCATGTGCTTATTAGCTGTCACTCAGATTTACATTGGAACCAGAGTCTTGAGCAGGGACCTTTCCACTATTGCATTTACAAGTCCAGATTAAAGACTAGGAGCAAACCCAATTATCTGGAAGTTAGACAAGGGGAAGGTGGGTTCTATCACTGTCAAGAATATGACCAGGAATTAGGAGATTTTAAATTAATGACTGAAACAGTGGAGCAGGATTGAGAACACAGATGTCAGAGGTAAAAGTCAAGGATCTTCCTAAATTAAACACGGGTGCTAAAACTATGCCACCACCCTCAGTTCAAGATGAACATAAGCCTGAGACTTCATTCCATGGGGATGACAAAGTTGTTATTTACAAGGTTGCCCTTGATCCACTTCCCCACTGGGGCAAGTCCTGTAAATGTATATCTACTTCTGATGTCGGCCTCTGACAAAGAAGAGAAAACCCAAGAAAGGTGGATCTTGCAGAGGCAAAATAATTGTTCACTGTGTTCAGGCGTGCCTATATTTAAATTTACTTTTATAGAAACTATAATGAGAAACATCACCATTACAAAGTCAAGCATCACAGAATCAAGGATCGTTTAGTTCATGAAGTAGAACTACGAGATAAGAGAATTAAAGAACTCGAAAATGGAAATGAATTACTGCGACTACAAATGGAAAAGGTGAGGGGAAAATGGGGAAGAACTCGCTCATGATGCTGGAGGTTGGGCATAGAGTGGAAGCCCACTCGTTTTTTAATTTATATGTGGCTTTTTGTAGCTCATGTTTTCATTTCTTTCCTTTGATCCTTTTTTTTCTTTTCTTTTTCTTTCTTTCTTTCTTTCTTTTTTTTTTTTTTTTGATGTAACTCTTTAAGCCCTGCTAAGATGTAAAGACTCGTAGTGACACTAAACTGCACACCAACTTATGGTCAGTGTTTAGCCTCCATGTGAAAATACCTTTTCTCCAACACTCTTCTCAGCAGAGACTTCTAAACCACCCCTGATAACTCATTCCTGCTTTGTATAAGGATTTTGCCTCAAACTTCTGTCAGCTTTAAGTGGCAGTGTAACTGGGTGATACCTACTCCTTTATCAGTCCTGGAATACCTCCACTTTTCTTTTAAATATCCTGCTTCCTTTATGTTTGTCTTATTGCTCTGGTAACTTTCTGATGGGTGGGTCAAAAGGAAATGGGATAGATGAATGGAATAAAATGCTGAATGGGCTCGAGATCATTAACTTATGTAAATCCAAAATGGAGAGCAAGTGACTAGGCTAGAAAAAAAATTTCCCTTCCATATTTCTAGGCCATTTCAGAATTTAAAAACTCTACCTTCACTCCTAAATACTCATTTCTGCATACAAGTATATTATACTACCATTGTGTGCCAAGTAGCCCAACAGAATTCATGTCATTTCTGTCTTTCCATAGACCATGGTATCACGGAACTCAGATTAATAATTCTTCGACTAACACACAACAAAACATGGATGGATTAGAACGGAGGAGTCGTGATTGTATTCTTAGTTTCAGAAAATCCTGTTGATACTCTAACCTGTAGTGAGAAAGAACACTAAGTCAGATTTTGCAGTATCCTTTGGTTTTGTTACTAATTCATCAAACCTTTCAAGGCTCAGATTGGGGTTAGATGCAAAACTAGAAAAACTAGATGGGAAGTAGATACAGAAAGTTGCAGTCCCAGTGGGTGGGTTCTCCAGAAAGGTGGCCAGCGTGCTCTGCACTGCCCTCCCTTCCCCCCACTGCCTGCCTTCACTTCTAGGTTGACGGTCAGTCAGCATGTTCTCTTTCTTCCTGAGGGTAGTCTTCCAAAATTCATGTCTCTCTGGAACTTCAGAATGTTGCTTAACTTGAAAAGGTCTTTACACATGTCAGTAGTTACAAAGAGCTTGTACCAAATTAAAGCACACCCTAAATCTAGGAAGACCAGTGTCCTCGTAAGGGGAGAGAGGACGCACTGATGCACTGGGGAAGGCCATGTGATGATTGAGGCAGACTGGAGAGAGAATGCAGCTGTAAGTCAGTTAGCAAAGAAGCACTGGACAAATTTTTCAAGCCCCTGGAAAAAGCCCAACCAACACCTTAATTTTATCATCCAGGACTGTGAGAAAATAAATTCCTACTGTTTTTAGGTGCCCAGTTTGGGGTAATTTTTAAGGCAGCACATGGAAGCTAATGCACTGACCTAGAGACCACAGGACCCCCCAAAAGATGCTGGAGACAGCAAAAAAGCAGAAGCTAGAAAAAAGCAAGTAGTCCTTTCCTAACTGCTGTGGAAGGGTGCTGTGGTCTCCGGCCTTAGACAGATTTGGGTGTGAAATCTAGTCTCGTCACTTAATACTTACGTAACCTTGCACAAGTCACTGACACCATTTCACTCACTGTAGAATGGGGGAAATAAACCGTACCTTACAACGTTTGGGGATTATCCAAGTGTGAAATACCTAAAATGGTAGTTGGCACATAAAACTTTTCACAGATGTCATTTTCTTCTTTTTGGTGTAAAAACCTCTTAGAAGCATGCTAATCAGTGTTTATATAGCTCACAAGAAAAACTGAACTGGAAATTAAGAATTTGAATTACTTAGTTTAGAGATGACTGAGGTGTGTCTTTTAGTGCCACAACAGTTAAACCTTTAGGTCCAGATTTTACTTATTTTGGAGCCCATGGACCAGAATCCTGAGCATGAAAATGTCTCATTCACTTTCTCAGCATCAGGTCTCCAGATGACCCCCTTGGGACAACATTCCTTCTGCCTTCTCTTTATACTATTGTGACCATCAGCAGGGTACTAGAAACCAGATTTCTTCAAATATTTCCTCCTGTTTTTAAAACAGATCTTTTGATTTGGGGTCCAAAAAATTTCCTTTCCAATCGAGTTGAACTGCATGTAGTGTTACCGATGGGATGACTGCTTTGATTCTAATGCCTTGTCACCAATATATTTACACAACAGCAGGATGTCGAAGTCAGACACTGAAGGCCCAGAACCAACGACTTTACAGTCTAGAATGGTTTGTTTCAGAACACAATGTAATTTCCTTCCTTCTAATTCTTTAACAATAGATGGACAATCTTTTCTGAATCGTCTCTATAAACATCGTATTTGAAAGAAAGTTGCCCCTCCTCATCCTGTGATTCACCCATCAGCCAGAAAGTTATTCTTCTCCCCACCCCCACCCCCCAGTCACTGCCATCATTGGCAGGTGATGATAGCACTTGCCTGTTGCTCTTGGATGGGATGAGGGCATTTCTACATTTTAAAACTTTTAGTGATTTTTTAACATAATAATTTATTCTTTTAACTGTCACATTAGGGTTCTTCCTGCAGTAAGATGCCCGCCACCAAATCACCCACTGTCCACCACCATGGCTCTTTGTGCTTCCTCCCTCTTTGTTCCTGCTCATCCCCAACCCTTCCCCACTTTAGATGCTTTAATTCTTTAGTCAGTGTGAGGGTTAGCTTTTAAGGGTGTCTCTCTCCCTGGCCTCACTATATTCCACGTTAGTGACGTCAGCTGGCATGTTTCATTCTCCTTCTGACTTATTTGATTTAGGATGATCTCTTCTTACTCCACCCATGTTGCTGCTACATCTTTAAACTTTTAAATGCTTCACTGATAGTGATTTTTAATAATATCTATTTATTCATTCAATATAAGAAAATGTTTTATCACAAAATACACTTCCTTATCATTCCAGCAACAAATTCTATCAGCTACGGCTTTCAGGGAAAATTATTGGTAGGAAATGAAACATGGTGTCATACTGGAAATCATTTCACCATGATCACTGGGAGAACATGCTAGAACCTGGCTACATGCTTGATTTCCTGAGCTACCTGAGATCCTGACACTGGTTGTAAAGTGTATTCTTTTCCAGCTCTCTTCCCTTTCCTTAAGAAGGGTATAACTACAAAGCAGATGGAAAGGTATTATATGGGGACATTTCAGCGTGGCACTAGAGAACTGAGTTGTATTTGTCAGTGGTCTGATACCTATGGGATTAGAACTCAGAGCATTGGGACCTTATCAGATGTTGAGTGCTCAGATAGTTTTAAATGTCAACCCAAAGGAATGGTTAAATGTCCAAACAATGCATGACTTAAACTGTATGTATGACTGGAAACTTCAACACACAGTTGAAAACAGACGAGAGGACAAATGGAAAAAAGTAAACAAGAAATTTGCTGTAACACTAGGAAACAGGTCAATGACCTTAACCTTACAATGCTTTCTGCTGTGGTAACTTGGGGCTTTAATATCCCTAGGACAAAGCTTTCCAGGATGAGGTCATTGCGCAAAATGATGTCCTGCTCCAAGAAAGAGGGAAACTTCTGGTGCAACTCACAGAGCAAGAAGAACTGATTGGCAACAACAAGGGGATGCTGTCTTCTGTCCAGAGTCGGTAGGTGCGGCCCTGCCCAGGTGCCAGAGAACACCACCAAGAGGATGGTCTTTCCTCAACAGCAGTCATTCCAGAGGCTGGCCTTTGAGTTTGCAGCCCTCACTCATAACTGTTGCTCACTGCCTGCTGATTTTGGCAATTCATGCAAGTTGCAGCAGTTGAGAAAGCGCAGAGAAGATGGGGAGGGGGCAGGTTGGCCATTGGGTAGGTGCTTAGGCTTCAGCATTGCCCCCCTGAAGACCCAGCTGTGTTCATTCTGGCCTGTCATGGTCATGGGTAGACACTCATTTTTATCGCTTGATAGCTATGAACCAAGATAGACAAAGAGTCACGGTCATGCTGGTAATCTCAGTTCATGAAATCCACATCACAACAGTGTTACCTTGAAAAAGAAATATCCAGCAGATAAGAATTCTCTCCTCAGCTATCCCAAGCATTCTCTCCTCCATCGCAAATGTTAACTACCATCAAAAGCAGTCTGGGAGCACAAGAGTGTTAAAGCAGAGAGAATGGGTTGATCTTGACAGACTGTGTCACACATATTAACATTTTTTTGAGCACTTGCTCTATGCTAGGCACTATTCTAAGATCTTTTATTTAATCCTCAAATAAAGGGAGGTTTTATTATTCGCTTTATTATATGAGTGAGAAGCTAAGGCCCAGAGAGGTTAGGGCGCTCAGGCAGCCTGGTCAGTAGCACAGCAGCATGAGAACTGCGCAGCCTGGCTCTGGACTCGCCACGCCTCAGAAGTGTGGAGAGGCTGGCCAAGGAGCCAAAGTCTGCTTTCTGCTGCCATGAGTACTCTGGACAGGCCTGGAGTCTCTGATTATCTTGTACTGTCTAAGCCTGCCTTTAATAGATCCTATATGATGCAATACTCTTCTCAAACTATGTCATTGCTCTGATTATAAGGCCCACCACAAATGCTTCATTGTGTTTGCCTGAGACAAGTTTCTTTATAGGCTTCATAAAATAGGGTTTACAAGAGTTATCTATTTCTTGAGGTGCTTATGAAGATGAAATGAACTAATATATGTAATCTGAATGGGTTACAGTGCTTTCATATATGGTAAATAAATTCAGCTGGTGGCAAATGCTGCTTCTAATACTACTGCCATTATTTTCACTTCATTGCCTACTACCAGTATTTCTTCTTCTACTGTTACTATTAGGTATGGGTTGACTGTAAGATCAGAACTAAATATAGGTTTCATAGATGCAATGTTTGAAGGCATGCAGAATCTCTTACTTTACTTCCATCCCCAAATGGGATCATATCCGACCTGAAGTTTCTAAAGGGCTGGAATTGTGCCTTGTATGTATTTGTTGATAGTACATCTCTGTTCTCAGTACATATTTAGTGACTGTGTACAAGCCAGAGGGTTTATTAATTTTCACTTGGTCTTAGAATATGGGAATTGTTCTGCCAAAGTCAGTTCTAAAATCCAGACAGTGGTCTAAGGCCCAGCACTAGTGGGGAATGCAACATAGATTTTTGACTTTAGAAATGATAGAGATGTTTAGTTATGCCTCTGATTTATGCCATTCTTAGAGTACTGTTGCTGGATAAAGAAAATAAGCTATTACAAGAAAACACTCTCCAGCTCACACATCACATTGGCCTCTTAGAGCGCATTATAAGGAACATCCAGATTCGCAGAGGGGAGGTAAGATGTGTGCTCCCTGTTGGGTCTCTGTTGGGCTGCTGAGGCTCTTGCTCTCTCTTTCCCCTCATCATCTTCATAGCCTGCACTTGTCCTCATGCTGGACTGTGGCAGAGAGGCTCATGGGCTACACACCAGGGCAACAGACCCTGAGGTTGCTCTCAGCCAGCTGTGCTTGCCATTGGCCAGCTTATAGTAAACACGTGCCTATGTGGCCCCAAACCATTTGTGTATGCCCTGTAGCTTCTTCCTTAACACCCTGTATTGTCTTTGCCTTTTTGATTCTCTAGCACATCAACTTATGAGTGAGCTCTTAGATGGGAAGGATTTTTATCTCCTCTATCATTGTATCTATGGGCACATGCTCCATAAATACTTGAAAACGAGAGAATGGTCAATGTTGCCTCATTCTCCACAACCCTATTGGCCATGTACTATCCTAATTCCATTGGAGAGATGAACTAATCTGAGACTCAGGAGTTAGTAAAGTTAGGCTGTTCTGGCAAGAAGACAAATCTAAGAGAACATCTGAGTCACAGAAAAGCAATTGCGTTTCAGAAATTCAAGCAGACAAGTAGCCAAGTCCAGAGAGAGATGGCGAATAGTGTAGGTCCAGGCAAGGTCCTGAGTCTGAGTGACGAGCAACTGTCAAGTGCGGGGCCCATCCTGAATCTAGCATAGACACTGCTCACCCTCTTCCCTGGCTGGTATCACCTGCTAGATGTTTCTTTTGGGATACTTCTCAATTGATCCTTCATGCTGTGTACCATTGCTATGGGCATAAAATCTGCATTTTGTTTGCTCTCAGAAAAGAGATCATTTCCAAGTTTTGTCAGAGGTACAAAACTACCAGATTATGTGACCTAATATCCAGTAGTTTGTCTTTGCTTGAGCTACGACTGTTTTCAATTGTCTTTTACTTAGTTAATTCGTTCAACAAATACTGATCCATTCCAGGAATTACACTAAGTACTAGGAATATAAAGATAGATCCTGTTTTCAGAGGACTTCAGCGGACAGACAATACATGAATTAGTACTGTAGTTTTATAAATGCTGAGTTAGCAGCCTTCATGGAGTAGACACTATGATCAATAGCTTAGTGATCTAAAGTATTATCCTCAATCAAACTAAGAAATGGCACATAGATGAGAACTATAATACACCAACGTCAATACTTCATTTATGATCAAAGTACCAGCTAGTAAGAAACCTAAAGATTGGGACAAACGATTTCAAAATTGTTCCTAGTTTTAGAATCTTAACAACCTTTCAATTCAGTCCTCTCATTTCATACATGAGAGAGACTGAAACCTTGAGTGGTTAGACAATATGACCTAGGGCACACAACCCCTGCCTATCTTTCCCAGGTCTCTTTAGTGACTTAGTGTCACATCCTGTAAAGATGGAGATCCCTGGGGTCAGACATATCTTAGGGCCCTTCCTTCCTTGCAACAATTCAGTGACTAAAATGTAAGAGTTTGACATCGATTGAGTGCTTACTGTGTGTCTGGTACTATGTTATGTGTTTTATGTATATTTCATTCAACCCTTAAATAATCTTATATAGTAAATCTGTCATTCCCATTGTTCTTTTGTTTTTATTTTGAATTTTTCATTAAGAACCATTGTCTTACATCCTTGTCAATATTTTTGACACAGTATAGAATCTCTCCCCTCAGGTGTGGTCGCTGTGACTTACCCTCTCCTACAACCACACACCATAGTCTACACAGTGGCCCCTTGTTCTAGCCCCACCTTCTCACCCACCCTCTACCCTTGTGGATGCCTCAGATCTATGATCAGCTTTCAAGGGTTGTTTTTTTTTTAAGATTTATTTTTAATTTATGCATACAAGAACTGGGGTTGTAGGCCACAGGTGTGGGAAGTGAGAGGATTCACCAGAGACAGAGTGGGGAGCAGAACAGGCAGATTGACTAAAATACACTGCTGAGGGGAGCAGTGGGCAGGACAGTTGTCTCCCTGGCTGGGGATCGAACTTATGCTGCAGTGGCTGTGATCGCTTCATAGTGGCAACTTCCTTTGGCAACCACAAGTCTGATCTGTTGTTGTTGTGTGTATATTTTTGATTCCACACAATGGTGAGATCATACAGTATTTGTATTTCTCTGACTGATTTTGCTTAGCATAATGTCATAATGTTGTCACACATGGCAAGATTTTGATTTTCTTCTTTTTTTTTTAAAGATTTATTTATTTGTACATACAGAACTGGGGTACAGGCCAGAGGCTCAGGGGCGGCGAGAGGCTTCACCAGAGACAGAGTGGGGAGCAGAACAGGCAGATCTACAAAGTACACTGCTGAGGGGAGCAGGGGGCAGGTCAGGAGAGATCTGCCACGCCATGTGGATCTCCTCCGGGGCAGGCGGGGATCGAACTCATGTGGAAGTGGCTTTAGCTTCTCAGTGCAGTATTTTAACCCACGGCGCCACCAGGGAGGGCCCAAGATTTTCTTCTTTTTATGGATGGATAGTATAATGTTGTGTGGGGCATGTGCGTGTGACATGTTACCCATCCATCCATTGGTGGACACTTGGTTTGCATCCCTGTCTCGGTTACTATTATAAATGATATTTCAGTGAACATGGAGTGCTGCTGTCTCTTTGGGACTGAATTTTCTTTCCTTTGGCTATACCCAGAGGTAGGATTTCTAGAATATGTAGTTCCATTTTTTATTTTTTGATAAACCTCCAAGTGACTTCACCAATTTACATTCCACCAATTGTATATAAGGGTTGTATATTCTTCTAGCATTTGTTTTCGCTCACCTTTGTTTTCTCTCTGTATTGCAGTCTGGAGGCAGAATTCTCATTTAACTTTTTTTTTTTAACTTGAGATAACATTGGTTTCCAACACAGTGTGTGGTTCAGGGGCATAGATCCCACCTCAGATGCAGGTCACCACCCCAGCCCCACCACTGAGGTTCCCACAGTCTTCCATCATAGTTTACTGTGCCCTCCCTAATGTGGCTTCCCACCCCTTGGAGCCTCAATTCCAGTCAGATTTCTACAGTTTGTTACTGATTTAGTTCTGTCTCACCCTTTGTTTTATTCTACTATATTCCACATATAAAAAACAACAACAGTGCTTATCCTTCTGATTTATTTCACTTAAGTCTTGTCTTCTTGATGATAGTTGTCCTAACAAGTGAGGTGAGGGGATCCCCCCTTTTTTTTTTTAAAGATTTATTTATTTATGCATATAGAACTGGAGTACAAGCCACAGGTGCAGGGGCAGTGAGAGGCTTCACCAGAGACAGAATGGGGAGCAGAACTGGCAGACTGATGAATTACACTGCTGAGGGGAGCATTGGGCGGGTCAGGAGAGGACTGCTACGCTATGTGGATCACCTCCTGGGCCGGGGATTGAACTCCAAGCAGCTGCTGCTAGCCTTCAGTGCTGCATCCTAACCTGTTGTGCCGCCAGGGAGGGCCCTGTCATAATTTTTAATATTTGTTCTTTCTTTCCTTTCAGGAAGCAGTAATTAGTGACATCCCTGAATTTGAAGTAATGAATAAAATCTTGCACTTACCAAACTCCAGGTTAGTTATGACCATCATTTATTTGATTGCTTCATATCATGCCTGCCTCAGTAGCCCCAAGCTCCTGGCTTGAGAAAGCAAAGCGTGTGGGGGTAATTTTCTGTAATTTATTATTTGATTCATCTTCCAATTCCTTCTCTCCTTGTTACTGTGTCACCTCCACACATCACAGAATCCTGACTTAAGGTAGAAAATAATCCTTAAACATAAGTTTAAGGTAAATTTTCTTTCTTTTTTCTTTGTGTTTGACAATTGTAAAAATCTGAAATGCTATTGATGCCACCTCTCTGTTACCCACAGTGCCACTAAGAGACCCTTTTTACACAAAGTCCTCACATGTGGTCTTTCTTAGTCTTTCAGGAATAGATTTGATAGCATCAGTTGCAAGTATTCAAGAGATTGGAGAACGTAAGTCAGAAACAGTAGTGGCCAACTCCAGTTCCCCTGAGTGTCATTCATATTCACAGAATTCTGAAATTGGATATATAAATGTGGCTCCACTGAAAGTGACACATTGCATCCAGGAACAAGCCCAGAAGTCAGAACTATAAGGTCACTGGTGTCTAAAACTGGACTGCTCAAAGCTGCTAACTTCAAGTTCGGGCGTGAAGGTGGAACATGACATGGACAAAAGTTACCACAGCCCCCACTGGACATCAACTTGGAGTCTCCAAACTTGCTGATAAATTAATGCTACCAGTTCTAAAAATGGATTTCTCAAGTTTGTTTGCTATCCTCAAATGCTGTGTATTGATTAATATAGTAACTTAAACTTCAATGATTTAATAAAGTTTCCCATTCAGCAGAGCACAAGTATAGCTAATTCAGCATTGCTTCTTCTTATCCTAATTTTATTTATTTCTAAAGTAAAAACAATGCAATCATATTAAAACAAATACTTTTAAAAAGAACTCTATAATTCTACATTCTCAACACAATCACTTTCATTTTTAAGTTAGTCCTCCTGGTGTTTATTCAAAATTAAATTGTATGTTCATTTTCATACTCTGATTTTTAATTTCCCCAGATTTTAATCGTCTTTATAGCTACTCATTGACCAAGCTATATTCTATCATGTTAATATTCTGTAAATTTTCCTGTTGTCTGACATTTAAGTTGTCTCTACTTGGAGAAAGTCTTAGAGAATGCGGCTCTTTTCTTGAGTTGTTCCAGAAAACAAATGAACAAGAATGCTATCATTGGGTAAAGGATATAAATTTTACGTAGTTTTAGTATATCACTTGTTATGTTACTTTTTTAAAAAGGTTGTGTCAGTGTACTTTTTCCATAGTCCATTTCTTTAAGCCTCTTTTTAAAAATGGGAACAAGTTCCTGTGGCACAGGATAAAGAGGACAAAATGGAGTGAGTGTGCGTGTCTCTTAGTAACTGCTCCAGGAAGGGCAATGGTGGTCATTTTTTTTTTTCTTCACCAGAAATTAGTAAGTGCAATAGTTTTTCTATAACTTTATCATTGGGTATTATTAATTTAAAATTTTTATTCTAAAATAGTTGGTATAAAACTGACGGCTTCTGAAGGCTGATGGCTACTGTGCCTTACTCTCTTTTTCCTTTCCCTTATTCTTCTCCTCTTCCTTCTCTCTTTAGTTGGGGCTAGAGAAGGGAGTCTAAGAGGGGAGGGAAAGCAGAAATTTTAAGACAGCTTCATCAAGCAACTAAATTTTTATGTGTAATTCTTGCTTCCTCAGACCACTGAAATTTGGATTATTCAAGGATATCTGAAATATGATATTAAATACAATCTCTGACTCCAAGTCTTTCCCAGCCCAGTCGCCCACTTTTTTTTTAAAGATGTATTTATTTATGCATACAGAACTGGGTTACAGGCCAGAGATGCAGGGGCGGTGAGAGGATTCACTAGAGGCAGAGCCTGGAGCAGAACAGGCAGATCTACAAAGTACACTGCTGAGGGGAGCAGAGGGTGAGATGGGAGAGGGTAAAGTGCCATGTAGATCACCTCCCTGGCTGGGAATCGAACTTGTGGTACAGTGGCTGTTCCAGCTATGTAGTGCTGTGCTTTAACCCCTTGCACCACCAGGGCACCCAATGTATTCAGTTTATTGAAATCTGTTTAGGCGCACTCTCCTCCCAAGTTGACATCTGGAAGAGTATTAAAGACTATTAATAGAAGCACCAGGCCTGTAGACAGATGCATCTGCTGACCTCCAGGAACAAGTCAGGACCATGACTGATGGGGACACAAGATAAGGTCAGGTGGATGACAGATACTGTACTGTGGGCCTTTTTATGTAAACAATTGGATTGTATCATAAATATGGAAAGCCTGGAGTGGTTTCGAAACAGATTTCATTTGAAAGCACTAGCTGATCTGTGAGAAATTAACTGGGAGTGACAAATGTGTATGCTTGCAAAAGGACTGAAATTCTAGTGTCCTGACTTACAAGGAGGTGCTAGCTTGTGTTTACTGAGCAATGCTTATATGCAGAGTTCCTGCCTTCGTGAGGCTCACGGCACGTGATATGGTTCAAGCTTCTTAGCTGCAAAGACTCCTAAGGACCCCGGAAACTGCCCAGTCCACCCTCCCCCCAGTCCCACGCCCAGCCCGAGTGAGAAGAATTTGTATTGCACTTATTGTATAGCCACGCGCCAGTTCACCTTCAGCAAAAGACGCCAAAGATTTCCTCCTCGGCCCTATCTCCATCCGGAGACAGCAAGTGAACTGACAGCTTGGTGTCGCCTATGCGACACGCGACAGGCAGACAGGGATGGGTCCTCAAGCCCGCGTCCGGGCGCGAGTACCACGGCGTGCAGCGCAGCAGGGGCGGGGCCTGGGGCGGGGCCGGCCTCAGTCATCTCTTTCTGCGCCTGCGCCGGAAACGAAACCTGCTGACCCGAGAGTAGGCTCACCGGAACCCCGCCCCCCCGGCTTCTGCTTCCGGGTCGGTGCCATGGCGGTGGCAAATTCAAGCCCGGTCAATCCCGTGGTGTTCTTTGATGTCAGCATTGGCGGCCAGGTGAGGTTAGGGCGGCCTCCTGGCCCTGTGCCCAAGAGAAACTGCGCGGAGTCCAGCAGGCAGAAATCCCCCGCTCGGGGATAACGGGCTCGGGAAGCCAGAAAGTGAAATTGGGACGGAACTTAACCCACTTGGCGGGCGGGGGCAAGGTGAAGGAGGAGGAAGAGGGTCCTTGCCCATGGACAGGTAGACTGGAGATGGCGATGGGAGAGACATAGAGGCACAGGGAGGGAAGGGTCAGCCATTCTTGTTTCGCTGCTTGGTGAGGCCTTCCCAGCCTTGGACTAGGTTCTGACGTATCCCGACCCTTGCAGGAGGTTGGGCGCATGAAAATCGAGCTCTTTGCAGACGTCGTGCCAAAGACAGCCGAGAACTTTAGGTAAGGAGTCGCCCCCGCTCCAGGTTAACCCGGCCTGATGATATCTGCCCACCTGCTCCGACTGTCCACTCGCTAACGTTGAGATCTGATTCCTCTGGGTATTGTACTGTCTGAGTGGCCACTGTTTTTGATTTTTCTCGCGTCTACCCATATTGCCTCCGTGTGCTGGCTCCACTCAGTGCAGTCTCCTCCCGAGATTAGGGACACTCGCAGCTGTGATGTCCTGGTGACCAATTTTTCACTTTTTCCCCCTTTCAGGCAATTCTGCACTGGAGAATTCAGGTCAGTGTCTGACTTGGTTGACTTCTGTGCCTTCTTCTAAGGGGTGTTCTGGGACTGCAGTGAGGGTGTTGAGGAACCACTGGTAGTAGGCCTTTAATTTTTACTGTTGACACTCATGGAAGATAGTGCTCCTACAGTCTAGTGTAACCTTAGATTATTTACTTTTATCCTTCTTAGACCATCTTGAGTGTGTGGTAAAGTGGAAAGCCCTGTGATTATCCGACCTCCTTGCAAGTCTTTTTTTTGTTTGTTTACAGAAAAGATGGGGTTCCAATAGGATACAAAGGGAGTACCTTCCACAGGTAAGGCTTTTGGCAAATCATCCTAGGACTTTTAGAATTACTGCCTTGGGAGAGTTGGTTCTGTAAAGGAATATAAAGCCATAGGGTAATTCTTAGATTTTGAGAATGTTTTTCTGAGCTCAACTGATTTGAAGGTTTACGAAATGCTAAAGAGATTAATGTTGTATTTTGAAAGCAGAATTAACTCCAATGACTAATCAGTGTTTTACCAAACCACGGAATTGTCTCAAGTATTCTTTGGTCTCTGTTTCAGAGTCATAAAGGATTTCATGATTCAGGGTGGAGATTTTGTTAATGTAAGTTTTATTCTTTCCTATTAAAGACTTATACGTTTTTTTTTCTTGTTATTGCTGCTGCTGTTGTTTTTATTATAAGGCCCCAGTCTTAAGATTTGAGAACAACAGCATATTTGAAGTGGGGAGGAGATGGAAATGGGATGTCATTTAGTGGTGCTGGCTACTTGCTGTACCACTTGATGTCACAGATATCAGCATTTTGGTTGAGTCAGTTACATCCATGGTCCAAATCTCAGCCTTTCAGGGCTGGAAACTGCACTTCCTAACCTTCCTCTCTATAGAGCATGCACCACAGAAATTAGTCACATGAAACATAGCCAGAAATCAGAGGCAACTAATTTTTCTAAATGATAGTAAGTTCCTTTCTGGTAAAATACTTATGTTCATTTTCTCCTTCCACTTCTGAAATCACAGTGCCTAGAAAGCTGTGAAATTGATTACTGAGCAAGGAATCCGAACAAGAGAAATAGATAGTTCTGGAGAGATGTTTCCTCTCCAGAGGAAGAACCTTATAGCATTATAAGGAAGAACCTTACATATACTTCACCATTAAATATGTCTACCTTATGACTATGCTCATTAAAATTACTCTCCTGTCCCTGACTTTAGAGGGTGCTGAATAAACTACACATTCCCTTTCTTGAATCTACTTTCATCCTTACCCATTTCATGGTCTTTCTTATTACCAATTACTTGGTTGATTGTGGTGCTATCTTCTTGCATCTGAGAAATAATGGCTTAAGAAGTCATGCTTATTTGACTTCTGAGTTTTTCAAATGTCTCCCTTATCCTAGATAGTGTTACAAAGTGGCAGACTTTGGGCAAAATCAAACTTTCAAAAATGTTTTATCTGTATAGTGGTGTAGTATTGGGAAATTTTTAATAATAATTCTGGCATTTTTGTTTTTTCTTTAAAGAATGGGAAATGGGGGTATACCAGACTTGTATTTCTCTAGCAGGAGCAACTGCTCTGTTTAGACAGGGTGTATCCTTGCCCTTTCACCACATTCCCCCACTACTTGCTTGGCCCCTTTAGGCATTTAAGCATGAAACCTCTGGTCATAACTTACAAGACAGGTCGTGGGATGACCACATACTTTTTATAGTTGGAAGAAAGGATGAGAGGCTATTCTTTATCTTCTTTCCTTCCTTCTCACTGGCTCATGTAGGGCCATATTGTCTTAGGGACAGCATCCCTATCTTACCAGTCATTGCCAGGCACACGTGATTACTTGACGTTAGCCCTAAAAAATATTTTTTTTAAGTTCTGGGTTTTTGCTGGCTGCTAAAGAAAATAAAATCACCTTTTTAAAAAAACTCACCTCTAATAGAATGTACTATTTACACTTTAGTTTTCAGCTGTCAGCTTTATCTTTCCTTACGTGTGTGTGTACATATAATTTTTAATAGACTTAAGATCCCAAAATTTTTTTCATCTTTAATCATTGTCTGCATTTTTCCTGTCATTAAACATGCTCTGGTAGCTACCCGGTTCAAATTTCATTATAATAGGCAATTAATTTATTTGATCAGCTAAATTGTTAAAGATTTAAGTTGCTTTCTTTTGTTTGCTCTGAATAATTAATTTTGTCATTTCCCCACTCTGGCTTCTGGAGTGCTATAGATAGTGTCAGTGTGATTATAGAGAATGATGTGGTAACTGATCTGTTCCCTTAGGTTTATTGAAAATGAACTTTTTTGCACTTCTTCCTGTATGTATGTAGGTGGAGTTAAAGATACAGTAACTCACATTTATGTCATGCTGTATTGATTATAAAGTGCTTTTTTTCAGATTGTTTAATTGGGTTTTCAGGACACTTGTAAAGAGGAGGTGGTTTCATCCTTACCTTGTAGTTGAGGAAACTGAAGTGAATTCCCAGGCCCACAAAAATAGATCTGGAGCTCAAATCCAAACTTCTTCACTATACAAAGTTTGGTTTTAGTGATAAAGTTTAGTTAAATAAAGGTTTGAAGTTGACTGCCGTTGTTCTTACATTGATCCTCTTTGATAGTTTTTCCCCCATCTTGATTCTGTATCAGGTCTGTATTTCCCTTTCTACCATGCACCCAGTGTTGTTTTTAAACTCTGAATGGTAAAGATTGATCTTTTGGTCCCCTCTAAATATCATCTGCAAATAGGATATTGGTCACGTTGCTTTATTATGCTGACTTATGTTTGCTCATGTGACAAATGGGGGAGATGATAATGCTTATTCCATCCATTATTGTCAAAAGAGCAAAAAGATAATGCAAGTAAAGCTAGTTTAAGCCAAAATTGGGTGTTTAAGATAGGGTATTGTGTGGAACCCACAGGAAGAAATAGAATTGAGAACTGAGAAGGCACATAGCACCAGTGTAGTCCTTTCTGTTCCTGTGGTGCTCGCTACACACCGGTGTTCTCTTCAGTCTTCCAGTCTGCCTTGCAGGCAATAGTCACCTCCAGCTCCCAGATTTAGTCAGTACAAGTTCAACCTCAGAGCATCTAACCCTTTTCACAATTACCAGAGGAGGAAATCTTCATGAATTAGTTGTCCTCTCCTGGACACCTTTGTCCAGGAGGGTAATACCTCAGAACCACTCATCCACACATTGTGTGGGGAGATGGGGCAATTGTTAGTTAAGTGCAAGTGTAACTTGCAGGCTTGAGGGCCTTTGCTAATGGTAAGGATAATGTATGAGATCATTGTACGGTTGTTCCTTATTTTGTTTGTGTCTTAACATGTTTTTCTTTAGGTCTAGCTGTGACCTGTTTACCCAGTCTGTGAGATGCTCTGGTCAGACTTGCTTTGATTGCAGTATAGGGTCAAAGAGTCTCCTAGTTTGAGCAACAAGAGGTAGAGTAGACTTTTCAAAAAGCAGGCTTCAGGTGCAACAGTGGTTTTTCCTCTAGGCTTCAGGGCACACAGTCTTTGCTCACACTTTTTTTTTTTTTTTTTTTTTAAACTCAGGGAGATGGTACCGGAGTCGCCAGTATTTACCGGGGGCCATTTGCAGATGAAAATTTTAAACTTAGACACTCAGCACCAGGCCTTCTTTCCATGGTAAGTGAGGCTCAGTTGCAGTTTTGGGTTAGATATATAGCCGGCCAGTGTGTGGGTGCTTCTTGAGGGCCAGTGCTGTCTCATAGGATGGAAATCCATTACTTGGCCTGGGGCTCACCTCTTTCTGTCTGCTCTGACTTTGTTGGACTCGAATCAAAATTGAACTCCAATATGTGTTCTCTTACCTTCATTTGGGCCAGGAAATATGGTTCATCATTCAGCCTTGCTGCTCAGATGTAGCGAGGTTTGCTTTCAAGACCCAGTGTTCATTTGCTCTTTACTAGGCCCCTCGCAGACACACGGTCTACTGGCTGGTTACCAGTGCTTGCTCACTGCTCCTTATTCACTCCTACTCCCTGATCTTGCATGTCCTCCCAGGTATGATCCCTCGTCTCTTCTTTGCAGTGCTGCACATGTGTACATGTTCTTCTCACCCTCCACTAACCCACCAGTAAATTTTTTCACTAAGTCCAAGATTCATCTTTGATGTGTCTTGTTGGTTTTTTATAGTCCAATTATGTGTGAAACCATCTGATTTATTTCACTTAATACAATCATTTCAAGTTCCGTTTTGTCCCAAAGACACTATTTATTCTTAAAAAAAATTTTATTACCACTGTTATGATACAATGCAAAGCCATTGAAACAAAACAGCTTTTGACATAGGCAACAGACCTTTTCTCCCCAGGTAGTTAACTATAGTCCAGCTATAACAAATATTGGACCAAACAGCAAATCAGGTTCCATAAACAGTTATTTCCATTATAAAAATTTATACTCTAGGGGAAGTGTACATTTATTCAAAGATCTGGTTCCTTGAGGGCAGAGATTGTGTGTCTTGTTATCTCTGTGTCCTTGGCCTTGACTCCGTAGATGTTTGCTGATAAAAAGTTTGGAGATTCTTTTGGGAATCTTGCCCTTTGGCTAGCATGGCCAGGAGAATTCACTGCATATATATTTGTTTTCCATCAGGCAAATAGTGGCCCCAGTACAAATGGCTGCCAGTTCTTCATCACCTGTTCTAAGTGTGATTGGCTGGATGGGAAACATGTAGTGTTTGGTAAGTCCTACTCGCTCCCATAGTTCAAGCTCCATTTATACCCCATGGGACTTCAGAAGAGCCAGAGATTTCCATAGCCAGGGTGTTTGACTCATATCCTGCACTGGGTAGCAGTGGCAAGGGTGGAAGCGGTGCTTGAGAACTATAGGAAGGGATGCCCCTGGCCTCACAGTGTGGGGAGACATAGTCTGTAGCAGTGCAGCATTTGGGTGGTAAGTTTGTCTGAGGGGAAAACCCAGGCAGAAACACTTAGGAAATGCCTTCCACATGCAGCATGGTATGTGGTGCTTTGCAATCTCCCAGACCTGGGCTTGAGCCTTAACTTTGTGGCTGCCTGTGACCTCCATTTAATCAATATCCTGATGTTAGTATGAGATTCAAATTTAATGGCTGTGGATGGGCAGTGGAAGCTAAGACATGTTATGCAAGTGAGCATAGTAAAATCCAGCTCACATGCTTTCTACAGGGAAAATCATCGATGGACTTCTGGTTATGAGGAAGATTGAGGTGAGTCCATTTTGTTGCCATTTTGGTCTAGTACTGCCTAACTCTTGTCAGCTAGAGGATGGTGAGTTCAGCCAGTCTTCATTGCCTCTAGTGACATTGCTTTCGTTGCCTCTAGAGAGGCGAGTCCTCATGCTCCCATGTTTTCTTGGCCTGTAAGCAACCTCTCTCGCACGCCAAGGTTGGTCTCTGTTGTCCTTTTCCTACTTGGTAAGATCCAGTTTAGTACTGCTCTCAGGAGCCTGTGTGATCTGGCCCCTGCTAGCCTTGGCATGATCCTTTTTCCTGCCACTGCTTCCCTGGTACTCCTGTCATAACAGGCTGCTGTCTTCTCTAAATATGCCACATATTTCCCTGGCTCCTACTTCCTCCTGCCTCTGAGCCTTTTCTTTGCTCATGTTCTTCCCTCTATAGGGATCTGCTCCTTTCTTTACCTCATGATGGGATCTCACTCATCCTCCTCCTACTAGCGCAAACTCCCCCTGCTGTAAATCCTTCCCTAACCTCTAAACAGCAGTTGAGTTGCTTCCTCAGCCCTGCACACACTCTTACCACTTTTTATAATTTTTAATGTATCGTAGATTTTTACACATCATAGATTCAATAGTGTTTAAGTGTGCATTTCTTTTTGCATTATGTTTCACCTGTTTGCTAGGACAGACTGTTAACCATAGCAGTCTCTCCGTCCCTAGTCCTTAGCAAAGGGTTGGGAGGAATCAGTACAGGAGTCTCTTTGAATGAGTCTCCACTGTGCCTTCTTTCCTAGAATGTTCCTACGGGCCCCAACAATAAGCCTAAGCTGCCTGTGGTGATCTCACAGTGTGGAGAGATGTAGTCCAGAGCAAGACTGAAACAGGTACGTTGGTGTGTGTGACCTTGGCGCCTGAGCCTCTTTCATCACCTGTCAAATGCCTGTCTCCTGGGACCCTTGTAAGGAGCAAAAGAGAAAGGGTTACTACGCCACTCTACTCTCCACCACTTTGTAGTTTACCAAACATCAACCTGAACACCAGCAGGCAGCTCTGACAGCACACCAGGCTGCAGTGTTGAAGCAGCCCACTAGAAAGGCCTGCAGCGGCTCCCTCGGGGAGGAGACGAGGAGACACCCTGGCCCTTCTCATTAGAGCCATTGTGGCAGTTGCAAGCCCTGGTTTTGTATCTGCCAGTCCTGCAGGTGAATGTGACACATTCTTCAGCCTACATGGGGTCACTTTCCACCCATACTGCCTGTTTTGTGCTGGGCATAAAACAGGAGGGGAGCAAAAATGGAAAGATCCTCCACCCTTCAGGAACTTGTGGGGAAAAAAAATTCTCAGAGGTAATCAGTAAAAGGAATGCTATTACTAAGATTTACTAGAGTTCCAAAGAGTGCTGGTGGTGGTTTGCCTTCCCTCTGTCCACCCTGACTTCCTTCCCTCCAGGTGAGAGGAGCAATACATCGAACGCCCACCTTCAGTGCACCAATTGTATCACAGTGTACAACAGTTCACCTACATTCACCAGTGATTAATCATTTGGGTCTGACATTTCTTTTTTCTTTCTCTTTTCCCATTTGTATTCCCTCTCCTTACTCCTATTCGCCTCTTCCCCTCCCCACCTTCCTTCCTTCTTTTTCTTCTTTCTTTCACATTTGAAAGCTGAAGGCTACTTGATACTTTACCCAAAATATTTCAGCAAGCAACTCCTACAAATAATCACGATGATAATATCTAATACACATATTCAGATTTCCCCAGTTGTGTACAAAGTAACTTTTATGTGTTCCAAAAAAAGTTCCAGTCAATGTTTACATAATTTGGCTGTTCACTTTTAATTTTAAAAGTAATATAATCTGTAAATATTTTTACACAAAACTGTTAAAGTGAAAATCCCATCTCTTCCCCCCACCTCCAGTTCTACTCCTTGCAGATGGACGTCCCCTTTATCAGTCTGATATATTTCTCAGGGTCTCTCTTTGCCTGTCTAGTTTTGGGAGACATTGTTTTTCGTAAATGGCATCATATTGTGGGGCTCACTTGACATTATATTTTGAAGACTTCCTCCTACATTTATATAAAACTACCTCATATTAAAAACAAAACTGAGGCCTCCTAGTAGCCTGACTTAAGTCTCAGGCTATCACCAGTGTGGCCTGAGTTCAATCCCCGTCCAGGGAGCTGACCCACCTGGCACAACAGACCTCTCCCGTCTTACTCGCTGCTCCCCTCAGCAGTGTATCTCAGTAGATCCACCTGTTCTGCTGTCCACTCTGTCTCTGGTGAATCCTCTTACCCCGTACATGTGGCCTACACCCCAGTTCTTCTTTGCAAACAAACCCACGAAAGCTAAAAGCAAAACTAAAATAATAAGCTATTAATATTTGTGGAGTATGGTTTATTTTGCCTCTCTCTTAATGGTTTGAATAAGCATTTTGTATGTTGTGACTGTTTTCCCCACTTAGTAAATTACCTTTATTGAAGTAATGTTTACAGCACTGTATGTCTTAGGAGTGTAGGTTCACGCCTCTGCAAATCCGTGTTACCACACCACACCTGCGAGGAAGGCCCTAACAGTCCTCCACGGTAGCCCCACTGCGCTCATCCCCACACTGCTTCCACCCTCCTTCTGGTAGCAGATTGTCTTTAATTTAGTGGGGTCTTCTATGTTTATCATCTAAAAATAGGTTTACTTTTTTCTTTCCAAGTTGGATTCCTTTAATTTTCTTCTCTTGCCTAGTTGCTGTAGACAGGACTTCTAGTACTCTCTTGAGTAGTGGGGTGACAGTGGGCATTCTGTCTCGTACTTGATCTTAGAGAAAGTTTTCAGTGTTTTACCATTGGGTGCTATGTTACTTGTAGGTGTGTTGTGTATTCCCTTCATAATGTTGTCCAGGGCATATTTTAAAAAAACTGTCAGGGTGTTGTTTATCCTAACTTAAGTGATATCCTTTGTTAAACAGGATATTAGCAAATTTAAATTCTTTAACAAGTAGAAACCTAAATTTTGAGGAAGTCAAAACCATCAGCTTTTTCCCTTGCAACTTTTGCATTTTTGTCATCTTTAAGAAGTCTGCACTACCCCAGGTCATAATGTTTTCTGTATCTTTTTCTAATATTTGATTAGTTTTATTTGTGTACTGATAAATCATCCAGAGTTGATTTTCTGCCCTCTTTTTTCCAAATAGAGGTCTGGCCAAACAGACCATCTTAATGACTGTCCACACCTCTGTCTGTGTCTGAGTTTGTGCTCACAGGCATCTGGTAAAATGTCAGAAGTTAATAGTAAGGGAGGATGTCAGGCTTGGGGCCAGGGAACTGGTGGAGCAAATGCTGAGGCAGGAGTGCACAGTGCGCTGGAGGCTGCACTAGGCCTCTCCTGTCCAGCCGCATGGTCCTCTCTGCTAATGCTCAGGGCCCCTAGGGCCCACTCTGCTCGCCCCTTCAGTCATGCTTGCCACTGCCGCCCTCCCTCGCTCATGTCGTTGCTGAGAGTTGAATGCGTAGGTCCTTTCCCTTCGAAGGATTGACCACTGCAGGGAAAAAGATTAAAAGAATAAGGTTTTGAAATGCTTTACATTTGGGGCTGTTTTTTGGAATATTTCTGAGTCCCCTTTAGTAAGTTATTAGAAATCCTTGCTGGGCGTTTGATTTCCAAGGGTGGCAATCATCAATCCCTCCCCTGCTCACCCTGTTAGTAAAGATCATGTAAACATTTGTCCCCATGAAAGCCCCTCTTTTAAATCTGAACCAAAGCAGAACAAATTCCACAGGGGTCTTTTGACATTCCAGAGGCCTCTGGAGTAGACTGCTTCGGTAGACTCTTCTGTCTGTGATGCAGGAAACCTGTAACTGTACCTGTGGTGGCTCCCAGCCACATGTGGCAGTTGCACACTGGAAATGTAGATGGTGTGACTGAGGGGCTGACTTTTTATTTTTTCCAATATTATTTCCATTTATTTTATGTTGAACTTATTCCCAGGCCATAGTGAGTTTTTCTTTCTTTAGTTTCTTCTGGGATAGTCTTCTCTTCTGTGCAGCTGCCTCTTTGGTTTAGGATAGTCGGCTCTTTTTCAGTAAGGATCATCACCCTGTAGGACGGAGAGCTCATGTGTGGGTTTATCCGACCACTAGCTTGAGTCTACATTAAGCCCTTAAGCTTGGCATTACTTTACGCATTTTTAAGCAGTAAAAAGTTCAGCACTCTTTGGCCACCTGCTCCTGCATCCAGCCCCGCAACCGTTTGGCCGGGGCACACCCACCAACTCCTCTACAGTAGTGATGGGATGGCACAAACCACATCTGTAGCAACAGTCTTCAGATATTTCGGGTATGTGTACCCTTGATTGCCTGGACAGTTTCATGAACATGAAGATTTGAATCCCTTGATTTGTGTGACTTTGTGGGGTTTTCTAGGTCAAGTGATTTTTAGAGATCACCTAAGGCATCTTATAGGAAGAGCTCAATTTTAATTAAATGTAAGAGCCACATATGGTATGTTCAATTCATTCTCAAAATTTGATCTCTTAGTTAACACTTCAGGATAATATGGTTTTAAAAATGTAGGGACTTTTATGGTTTATTGAACACTTTTTGTGGTCAGCTATTGAGCTGAGTGCTTTAATCTCGTTACCTTTTAAAACTCCCTATCATATGTGTTAGGGAATTCGGTGGCAAGCTGATCTGCGGGTATTACACAGATGGGTGCGCCACTTTGGATTTCTGAGTAATGTGAATTGAGAAAAAATAAGGAATAGAAGAGATAATGTCTTAGGGACCAGGGTGTCATCCAGTGATCGTGATCTTTCTTCCCAGCTGTAAAGTTACAAGCAGCACTATTTCATGTAGGAGTGTTTCAGAGCCCTCCAGTGTTTGGGGCAGAATAATGGTTGACAGCCATTATTAGATAATGGTGTACATAAAGCAGTACATAGAGCATGTTTCAAGCTTTATTCTATAGTAGTTCTCAAATGTTAATATGCATTGGAATTGCCAGGAGAGCTTTTAAAATCAGTGGGCCTGGGTGGAAACTGAGATTTTGCATTTCTAACCAAATGTCCAAGTGATGCTGATGTTAATTTTGAATAGCAAGGCTCCAAGGGGATAGCAGAATTTGTCTTTTAATTGATAACCCACCATATCCCAATCAGAAAAGGAGGAGATAAGCTCTTGGTGGCCACAGTCTAGCAGGAATCTCCTGCATTCATTGAAGATACTCCCTCATCATGCATTTGGGGCCTGTGCCCAGCACTGGAAATACAGTTAGACAGTAAGGAGGTAGAAGACTAGTAGGGTCACTTGATCAACTATACCTCCATATAAAGTGTTTCCATCCAGAACTCCTTTGTATTCTTGTCTTAGGTCCTGATTTTGGTTTTAGTGAAAATGAAGTTTTCTGTGTAGCTCTAGATGTAGAAACCTTGGTGGTGTGAAAATTTTCTATGATGAATTTAATTAGGTTTACGTAGGCAAACCTTGGCCCTCAGGATTCACCTTTCATAGTCTGAACTGGCTTCTTTGCTGGTAGAACCTCTCTTTGAAGGCCTGAGGCTCTCTTGGAAAGGTAGTAGCATGAACTTTGCCAGTTTGAATTGCTGTTCTCCTCCCTGTGATCTACTGGTACTGATACCCTACTGGTATCTGTATCAAGCAGTAGAGAACTTTCTTTAAGCTGTATTTCCCCAAATTCCCCTAAAGATAAGAATCACTTGGAAGCATTTATTAACCTTACTAATTCCCAGATTTCTCCCTGGAGATTGAGTGAATTTAAGATAGGACCCAGCCTGCTATGCTTGTAACAAGTTCAGATTCCTCTTATTAGAAAAATGTGGGCAACACAGCTTTAGGTGGGGCTGTGATGAGTATCTTTTATTTTAATATTTGCATCGTAGGAGAAAATATATAATTAGCACAACACAATTTCACACTTATTATAGCTTACAATGAGGTATTACTGAATTTCAATAATTAGGTTAAGAAACTAATTATACCTGTGGGTGTTAGGGTAATAGCTGTGAAGATGCTATTCAAATGACTGAGATTTAACAAACACTGTACCCCTCTCTGGGATTACCTGCATATGTGAGACATCCCTACAGAGGATAGTAGCACACAGGCTGATCCTTCATTCATCCTACACTTAAGCTCGAATAATTAAGAGGGGGCCCTGCCACTATGAGACTACAACTTGAAAAGTACTGCATTCAAGGAACTCATGGTGTTTAAGAAGACACAGTTACAGTGGCATAAAGTATTAGACTGGAAGGGGCCTCCCTGGTGATGCAAAGGATCAAGTCTCAGCACTATGAAGCTATCCTCAGCCACTGCAGCACTGAGTCCGATTCCCAGCCAGGGAGCTGACCCACGTGGCGCATCAGACCTCTCCTGTCTCACCTGCTGCTCCCCTCAGCAGTATATTTCAGTCGATCTGCATTTTCTGCTCCCCGCTCTGTCTCTGTTGAATTCTCTCACCTCCTGCACCTCAGGCCTGCACTGCAACTCTTGTGTGCATAAATAAATACATCTTTTAAAAATAAAAGTATTAGACTGGATGTTTTAGGACAGGCTAAGGAAAGCATGAATCCCTGTGCCTGGGTGAAGTGGGTTGGAGGGCTGCATATGAGATGATGCTTCAGCTGAGTACACAAGAGACTAGATTTGTCAGCTGGCTGATGCTGGGGAGGGCTTTCAGGCAAAGGGAACAGCATGAGCAAAGGCAAAAACACAAAGTATAAGGAGAGTCTCCCTGGTGATGCAAGGGGTTAAGTCTCAGCACTGTGAAGCTATCTGCAGCCACTGCAGCACCGAGTTCAATCCCCAGCCAGGGAGCTGACCCACATGGCACAGCAGACCTCTCCTACCTTGTCTGCTACTTCTCTCAGCAGTATGTTGGAATGGATCTGCCTGTTCTGCTCCCCACTCTGTCTCTGGTGAACTTCCTCCACCTCTGACCTATACCCCAGCTCTTGTATGAATAAATAAATACTAAAAAAAAAAAGAAAGAAAAAAAATGTTAAGGGAAATGGCCATAACTCATTATGGCCAAAGCAGGCCACACTGAAAAGCAAACAGTAAAAGAGGAGACTGGAGGATGCCAAGGCCAGTGTGAGAACAGCATAACCTCACGTTATTGCTGAGGGTGGGGGCGAGCTTCAGGTAGTTGTACTGTTTTTGGTTTGTTTTCTCCCAGACAGAGTTCATTTTGTTCCTGAGAGTCTCAAAGGGGGACCTTTCCCTCCAGAAAGAACCAGGCCAGTAAGAGGCACTGCTGGAGGGTTTTGAGCAGAACACTGAGATTGAATTTTCTTATTCAGAAGGTGACTCTGGCAGCACTGCGGACTCCGAGCCAGAGGCCAATAAGGAAAACATGTCCACTGTAGCAATCCAGGCAAGAGAAAAGAGACTATGCATGAAAATACTGGCCTAGAGAGCACTAGAGATTGGCAGCAAGTATTTGTGTGCCTGCTGGGTGTGTGACGTGTCCCTGCCCTGAAAGTCCAAAGCCCTGCCAGGTAAAATGAGGTGGAAGGGGATAATGTCTGGCTCAGTTCCAGTCCATTCTAGTGCAAAGGCAAAGCTCCCAACTCGCAGTCAGGTCTTACACGCAGAGGAACTTTATGCTTTAGGTCTTTTGAGAGAACCGGTCTGAATTCCCCAAGTTAAATTAAGGGAAAGTCCAGATGCCGTACATTATGGAAGCCTGATGCCATTTATTTTGAATAACTATGTTAGCAATTTCTTTAGTGGTAATATAGCTTACTGTTAATAAGTTACCATTATGGAATAGAAATAGCAAAGAGATCTTTTTTTCCATTTATATTGTCCTATATGTGCTTGAATTTTCTACATTGGGCCAGTATTTTGTAGTGGGTTTGTATACTCTATATGTATAGTTTTAACAAATCCTAGTTCACCCCAGCTCCTCCCAGGAACATCTTGCTTGTCTTCACCCTGGTCTAGGCAAAGTCAGGGTCCCTTCCCAGGTGCCCCCAAATATCCCCCTATTAAACATTTAACACAGTCTTACCACAAATGTGTTGCCTGGCTTTTTCTAGACGGAGAATCCCCAGAGGCAGGGACCATACTACGCGCCTGTAATTCAGAAAGTACATTTACATGTTTTCATATATTCTGCTTAAGGGCCAAAAGTTAACCATCTGTCTGAACCTGCAATATGACACCAGGACTCAAGTCCTTTGAAAAAGGGGTGTGGCCACGTTAAGGGGGAAGGGGATAGTAGTATCCAAGTATACTCACCCTGCTCTTTCAGTCCAGCTAACTCCAAGGCCATAAACACAGGGTGTGGGCTTTCCTTTCTCTGTAAACCTGGGACCAAAATGTACAAGGAAGCAGGATTGCTCTTTGTTCTAGAACTCCACAGGAAGCCATTAAATTGTGGCAGAAAGGACACAGGCTTTGGAGCCAAGTAGACCAGGAAGTCCCATCACTGTCAAGACAGTAAACCTCTCTGACTCTAGTTTTCTCCTTTGCTTAATCACAGACAGTCTACACTACACAGAATTGTGTTTCGTGAGTAGTAAATGTGATGGAACACTTGGCTATAAATATAATTTTCTTTTTTTTTTTTCTTAGTTCTTGTGTAATACATCTCAGGTTTGGGGAACCAGAAGTTTGACCTCTAGCAAGAATCAGACTGGTTCTTCTCTTTGGGGAAAAAAGAGAATTAAGAGTGTGGAGGATAGCTGGGAGCCTTACCTCCTGGAATGTCAGGGTTCCCATGAGCTGCTTCTCTTCCATCTCTCACTGACATCCACATCTCTGCCATTGTAGGTATTCTGGGTGATGTCCTAAAATAATCTGGATTGGCCCCTGTGTTTGCTTCCCTGCCTGCTGCTGCCTTTTTGATCAAGAGACCTTGGAAGTATCATAGATTCAGATCCCAAAATTTTCTGTTTGTTTCCAACTGTAAATAAAGTTTTTGGTTTTTTGGTATGTGTGTTGTTTCTAAATGGCTGTGATGATAGCCCATATCCTCAGCTGGGGCTGGCTCTCCCCAGGGGCCAGCATGGACCAGAGCCCAGCACTGCTATGTATAGCTCACGCCTCAAGATTTGCAAGCAGTAGTAGCAATTCCTTCCTAGGTTCTAGCTGATTGGGCAAAGAAGGCAAAGCCCCAGGGCCTTAGGAGCGTGATTTATTCCAAGGATGTTCTAAGTAGTTCAATTTGGCTAATTCCAAAGCTTGTTGGAAAAGGGTCACCAACCTGGTGGGAGGCCACTTGGTGATGTGTATCTTGATCATGTGAAATGGGACTAATTCATTCAAAATCTGGATTTGAATCAGGTATTTTAAACAGTTGAGTTTTTGAGGAATTCATTTCCCCTTTCAAAGCCCCAATTTACTCATTTCTAAAGTGGGAATAATATCTGCATATTGTATAGCATTGTTGAAGTGGTCAAAAAGAAAAAAAAGTAATTGGTAATTAGTAACATGCCTTGGAAAGTGCTTTCAAATAGCCCAGTAGAAAGATTCCCACAGAGTCAAACTTTGAAGTGTTAAAGACTTTCTGGCATTCCTCTCATGAGGCAAATTCTGTATTCTCTCCTACTTTCTCTTGGCTGGTGAATGGGGGTTGCTGTACTGCTGGCACAGGCTACTACATGTCAGAAGTATTGATAGCAGGCAGCTGAATTATATGACAATAGATCCTGGTAAAAAGCAGCCATTTCAGTATAGTGGGGTGGAGAGAAATAGTTACAGGATCCTACAGCATAGATACTTGTAACTGTACAGCTAAGTAGACAGCTCAAAGAATACAGGAGAAATGATGTGACAGTGAAGGAGAGAGTTCTTCAACTAATGGGGTAGAATTCCAAAAAGCTAGGAAAAGAGGGTGAGCCACTGAGATCTTGAGCTGACATGCTTGTCATGGGCTATCCAGTTGGCTTCAGTTACTCCTGGCACCTGCATCCTATGCCAGTCTCTTCTCTGGGCACTGATGCCACAAAGATGTGGTTCATGCTGGTGACAAGAAACAGGCATAGTTTGATTCAGTGTGGTGACTGTTAAGAGAATGTGAGTCCTCTTGAGTACAGTAAATTGAATTTTTTTTTTTTTAACTGCTGTTCCCAACACCCAGAAGAGGTGAGCATCTAGTTCTTAGTAAGTGCTTCATAAATATTTGTTGCATGGTAAGAGGTTTGGCCAGATGCTGTATGAGCAGATTGCAGAGACAGGGTGAGAAGAAAAGGCTTTTTGGAAGAGCTGGCCTTTGAGGTAAGTACTGACTATGGTTGGGATTAGCCAGGAGATAAGGATGGAGAAGACTGTCCAAGAAGAAGAGACTTTGTTTTGGGGCCAGAGTCTGTTAGAAGTGGGGGGCAAAATGGAAATTATTTTGCAAAGGTTCATGAACCCCCATGTCTTCCACATCACTTAAAGATAGGCCCTGGAGTTGTCCCAACTCTCGTCACCATACTAGGCAGTATGTGCTCTGGAGGGGACAGATTGGCAGAACTGGAATGAAGAGCTGGGCTTTAGGAACCAGTGGATGAGCTGTATCTGCATCCAGGGCTTGAGTACTGGCGAGAAGTGGCTACAAGGAAACAGCTTACTGAATAAATTGGATGAGTAAGTAATGATACTTTAAAGTAACATTTTAAAAACAAATGTTACACAATTCTGAAGCCACCCCTTAAAGCAGTTACATGGGGAAGGTTGCTCACTTAGTCTGAGAGATGCTGATGTGTCTTTGTAACTCCACTTGGGAGAAAAGCTCTCCAGCCTGTCAGGCACACTTACTTGTCCTTAGTGTTGGCAGGGCTTCTGTTCAAGAAACATTTTAGCTGTGAAAGTCATCTGGAGCTGGAACAAAAGAATACTAGCTCTAAAATCAATCCACTTCTTTCCATACACATTGTTGCAAGCTTCTTTAATTCGGGTTACTGGCACAGGTGCCCACAGGACCACTCTGCTAAGGCATCTTCTGCAATCCCAGTTTCTACACCACATCCTTCATGTCAAGATGCAGATGCTCCAGAAAGAAATTCAGTCTGACAGGAAAGGTTTAATTAGTGTAGTACACAGTGTCAGGACAGGAGGTACTTGCAACCCACTAACATCTGAGGCAAGACCTAAAGGATGAAGACTAAAGCAGATGAAGGGAGAGAGGAAAAGTGGTGTAAGTAGAGGAACTTGTATGTGATAGCTCAAAGGAAGCAGTGGTTTAAAGATCACAGAAGGCTGAAGGAATGTGAGGCATAAAAATGAATGGGAGGACAGTTAGAGAAGTCCAGAGTCCTGGAAACCACACTGGGGAATGTGGACAATCCTATATGGGTCATGATTGGGTGTTTTCAAATGAACACTGGCCTTAGTGGTGGGGGAATATTAGAATAGTAAAGGGGTTAGTTTTTTTTTAAAGATTTATTTATGCATATAAGAACTGAGGTGTAGGCCTGAGATGCAAGGAGTGAGAGTTTTCTCGGAGACAGAGGAAGGACCAGAACAGGCAGATCTACTGAAATACATCGCTGAGGGGAGCAGAGGGCCAGGCAAGTCTGCTGTGCCAAGTGGGATGGAACTCCTGCTACATTGGCTGTGGATAGCTTGATAGCACTGAGACTTTAACCCTTGTGCCACCGGAGTGGCTCAGTTGAAAGGTGTTTAGAGACTGGATAGGTCACAGCAATGTACTAAACAAAGGGTGAGCAAAGTAAGGATGGCAGGCCAGCTCTTACATCTTTTCAATTGCTCATAAGCTAAAAATAAGGGTGATTTTCAAATGTTACTAAAGGGGAAGGAAATCTATGTGAAATTCAAATTTTGTGTCCATAAATATCTTTTGGAATGTAGGTGTACTTGTATATTGATTACCTGTGACTGCTTTCAGTCTCTAAAGTTAAGCAGTTAATACAGAACACTGAGGCCCACAAAGGTTAAAATCTTTAAAATCTAGCCCTCACAGTTTGCCTACTACTGCTCTAAGCAGTAGTCTACACCAGAGGCAGTAGAATTAAAAGACTGTCTTTAGATTTTTAGGACTGTCCCAGAAATGTCTTTAGGAGGTGAAGATGACTGACCTCTGATAGTGGCTGGGACTACTGGCATAGACTACTGGTTTTCCTGTTTCCATTTTTGCCCTTCTATGACCCATTCTACACTAGGTAGCTGGAAGTGTGTGGATAGAGGGGGGTCATGCTACTACCAACTTACAACTCTATTTCCTTAGGATAGGTTTCAAGTAAAATATTACTAATTTGAACCTGTTCCCTCAGTATCCAGGTGTCTTCATTCTGTTCTTATTGGGCTACATTTCCATTTCTCCCAGATAGCCCATCTCTTCTTGCATCTAGGCCTGTGGATAAACCTCCTGCCTGGAGTCAGCATTCCACTTCCAGTCCCCAAATGCTTTGTGCTTTGCAGCTCTGGAATGTTTGAAGTGTTTGGGTGTTTACATTTCTGCCTTCATCCCTAGATAGAAGGCAGAAACTGACACCTGAACTAGTCCATCCCCAACAGATAGCAGACGCTCAATAAAGGACAAATTAAATGTGGAGGGCTTCGGCTACATCAGGTGGCAGCCTAAATTATCAATCGTTTGTGGAATATGAATAATTAACAAGGCGACTGCAAGGGTAAAATGCAAGCAAAACACCCGGCGTATTTAATAAACGTGAGCTGAAATTAAATCAGATTTGTGGCCAATACAAAAGACGTGAATAAACAGTCCTAAAATGCCTGGTAAAATGGATTGTAAAGCTGGTCCAGGTGGAGTAAATCTCCGCCCTAAATACGCTAAGGGACTGCCCTGAGAGCCGGCACCGTCCCTCCAAGACGACTGCACCGCCAAAAACATTCGCAGCTCGAATACATTTAACCCCGGTCCAGAAACCTTCTCGGCGCCGCGAATACACACGGCCATTGTAGAAAACAGGGTTCTATCCCGCAGTAACAGTCTGAGGTTACAAGGACCGTATTTGGAGCGGGGAGGGACGGAGGCCTCCCCACATGGGGCTAAGGTGTCGTCGGGCCGCCTTCCAAGCCCCCGGGTTAGGTGTTTGGTCGCGCCTTCCCTTAGGGCAGGACCCAACCCTGGGCGTGGGGCCCGCCCGCCCGGGCAGCAGCCTCGTGAAAGTCACGTTCTCTCTGCCAGTCTCTATCGGTACTCTATGGTTCTCGTGGTGACTCTACTCTAATTCTAGTTCCGGTCTCTATGGCGGCGGCGGAGGTAGGAACGGTTGTAGGTCGGCCGAATTAGCCGCCTATGGACCAATAAGGATGGAGGAGTGATAAAGTATTAGCCAATAGAAATCAGGAGCTGGAGTCAGGTGGTAGGATTGACAGCGCCGTTGGCCAGTGGACGATGGTTAGGGCGGGTCGATCGCAGGGCTTATCCCGCCCGTCCCGCCATTCTCGCTAGTTCGATCGGTAGCGGGAGCGGAGAGCGGACCCCAGAGAGCCCTGAGCAGCCCCACCGCCGCCGCCGGCCTAGTTACCATCACACCCCGGGAGGAGCCGCAGCTGCAGCAGCTGGCCCCAGTCACCATCACCGCAACC